GTGTGTGTGTGTGTGTGTGTGTGTGTGTGTGTGTGTGTGTGTGTGTGTGTAGGGGTCAACAGGGAAAGAAAGTGGGGGTTTCCTTTCTCCTCTCTAACATACGTTGCTAGACATAGAACACGATGTCCTTGTTATTAAAACAATGCATTAAATGCTACATTATGTTTTTTTATTTRTCCAAAAGATAAATCAAAAGTTATGGTCACTTCTTTGTGTGCTCACTTTTTAAAACCTCTCTGTTCTGATTTGTACTTTTTAGGTCCTGTTTGTTKTATTTAAATGTCTCTAATCAGTGAAGTTAACTTGCTCTGCCAGCCAATGAAGCTTTCAAAGTGATTCTCGCATTAAATAATTTGGAGTAGCACCTTTTTAACATCTGAGAATGATTAGACACTTTTAAATATTTGCTCTTTTTTATGACAGCTTGTATAACTTGTGAGCAGCTCGCTCTTGTTAAGTGGCCAGAGGGAGGAGACATCTAAAGTTTATGTAGTTGTTCCCACCTTTAAACGTACATTTTTCTGTTCAGATGAAGCTTGCCCTTCTATTCCTCTTTGCTTTACATTCCTAAGTGTTGAACTCAAGCCTTAAAGGAATATTCCAACCATTGTAAGGTGGAGTTCGGTGTGAACATTATAAATGGTATCTTACCTGTTGTAGATGGCTCTTTGAGTGACCTCAGCACTCTCGACTCGTTTCGTCTTGCAGGCTTTTTTTTTCTTTTACTTTTATTTTTTATTGATTTTTGCAAAATTAAACAGAATAAAATTAAACATAAAATAAGAACAAACTTCCAATCAGGGGTAAACCTTTCTCACCCAAAGTCCCTGTTGACAGGCTGAGGGGTTAATCCAGGGCTATTCAACTGGCGGCCCGAGGGCCACAACCGGCCCGCGAGTGACCAAAGTTCYGCCCGCCAWTTGGTTTATTCATCTCTTAAGCCCAAACCCCCAGTTTTCTACTTTAATTACTCTTAGTTCTTTTAGTTAAACATAGACATGTTTGGTATCTACAGAAACGTCAGAATCTTGGCTAGAAGTTGGTAAAAACCTTTTCTATAAACACTCAAGACAGTTAAAACTACAAGCAGTTGAAGATAAAATGATGAAAGTGAAAATAAAATTGGTTTAAAAATTTGGCAAGTCAGAGATGTTAAAATAATATTTGTGTCAAACAGGGGGCATAATMTGTTCTTTTTGTTTTTGATAATGTTTAATTATCACTACCTTTATAGGGCTCTATATGTTGTATTCATGATTAAATGCAGCAAAATAAACTAATTCAAAGGTAACTTATCTTTGTAATACTTGGTTTATTTACATAATAACTTTAATTGCTGGATGTTCGGCCCCTCAGCTGTTGACCGTCAGTAACTGGCCCCCGGAGAAATGTAGTTGAATAGCCCTGGGTTAATCTCTGCAAAGAGAGCCCCTCTCTGGAGTTGAGGRGCACCATTTCGCCACATTTGGCCCGCGGGCCCCACTTTGGGCTCCTCTGTCTTAAAGGCATTGAATTCARTAACCAAAAAATAAGGGCTTAAAGTGTCTTAAACCAGTCTTTCAGAGGGTTTACACATTGTAAGGATGACTGTTATTTGACTGTAATTTGTAACAGTTATTGATTTAAAAAAAATCACCAAATGCCTCTCACGACTAGTCGTTTTGTCCTAAAATAAACATATGGGTAAAATTGTCACTGAATTTTATTTTCACATTTGTGTTTATTGTGAAGTTGGTCTTAAATTTAATTTCAAGTGGCATTGAAGAGGCCAGTTTATTTAAACTGATTTAAAACCCCCACACGTCATAAAAACTGTACTCAAGTCAGAACAAGGCCTGTCATGATGGGCAATAAATTAATTAATCACATGATAAATTAAACAGAGGTTGATCATTTTCATTTGCTTGTTTGTTTTCTTGATGTCCCCCTCTTTTCTACTCGTCAGCATTAGGGTTGGGCAATATTGGCAAAAAAATTGATCACGATTACTTGTGGTATTTAGCCGATAACGATTAATTTGACGYTTAARCCRCCGGAGTCCCTGGACACCCTTATGTCCTAGTCACATGACCAATTTATAGGGAGAAAATTGGCTCTTCGTAAAAAGCTGTTCCAATTTGTGTCAAAATTACAGACTTCAGGRTATACATCAAACTTTAAATTGTGTTGATAGATAAATAAATTACACAACTTTTTTAAATGTTGGTCATATTTGAAGCAGAGAGGAGCACCAAGCGGTTAGTCTGCCGGGTGGCATTAATCGTATTAATTAAYTGCCAAAAATTAATTGATTAATGTTTTTCTGACGATTAATTGCACATGATACGATTATGCCCAACCGTAGTCAGCATAGAGCGGAGTGAACTCTGGAGTCAGGTCTTTGCCAGTTGCATGGTCTCGTACTTCTTTAGCCTCAGAGCTAGAGGAGTGTTAGTGATAGTTTTTTTTAACACCACGTAAATAAAATAAATAAATTGCACAGGCTTGGATAGAGGTGAGTAGGGATGTTACAGCTTCAGTAGCTGTTGTGTTTTCACAAACTTTGCACCCGGTCCGTCCGTAACTTTACATAATTTTCATAAACTGTTGTAAACTTTGTAAGTGGCATGCAGGTGACCGCAGTTATTTTATGAATCCAGAGAAAGACGAARACAGGATAAATTGCACCGTCATGGATGGAGGAGGTGGGAAGTGATTTTACWGCTTCAACAGCTGCTGTTGTGTGTTTTCACATTCTGTTAAAATAAACACACTAAACTACACCTTAACTYTGAAATCCAAACACAATATCTCAAATATTGTTACTTGCTGTCTTTCCATCACCACTGAACTTCCTTTGACTTCTGCATAGATTTTTTGGTGCTTGACAAATACGTTTGAGCCTCAATCAGAAAAGCCATTGGATTTTGTTTGTTTGTTTGTTTGTTTGTTCGGTGGGAATGGGGGTGAAAACGATGGGAGATAGGTGTGTTTTCTCCATGAGACTGCCCGTCTGCCTGCAGCTTTGCTCATTAGAAATCACATGATAGAATCCCTGACATGACATGAAAGTGATTACATTAAAAGTGACTGTTAGATCAGCTGTTAGCTCATCAGTCCTGTTAGAATCAAAAACAACTATATCTATGGACATATCTCAGTTCAGTAGCTTTCTGCAGCAGGTAAGATATTAATTGTTCAGAACTTCTCCACAGAGCCCCACTTCATAATGGCCAAAGCATTCCTTTGAATCTCAAAACGACCTGCAGCATGAAAGGAGTTTCCTGACAGGGTCCAGAGTTGCCTGAACATTTCTAGGATCATTTGTGAGCGTTTCACTGTGTCAGCTCTTCACTGTGTCTCTTCTCTTTTCCTTGGACATGGTTTCCACAGGAACCCCTCCACGGCTTTCTACCAGGCCTTCCAGTCTGGAAGCAGATTAAGAGACCCAAAGGTCCGCACTGATAGGTACAGTACTCCGCTGGATTGGACCGGGCAGGCCTGAGGAGTGTAACAATGTGTGCAGTGTTCAGTAGCAGCGAGCTTTGCTTTCTACTCATGCATGGATTGAGTTTAAGCCCGGCTACACGTGCAGGATTGACCTGTAGACAAGATTCACCTTTCTGTCTCTCCAGCCTCTGCACAGCCTTTTTATGCTTTTAGTGACAATATCATCACTTAGATTCTGTTTTGCCTGGGCATTATTTTAATAACTTAGATTTCTGCAGATATATGGATCAGTTTAATTGCTGCAAACTGTAGGTTTAAAGATTAACAATAGAACAGTGTAAACACAAAATCCAATCATTAAAAAAATCAGTTTCTTTGTGTTAAAGTGAGTCCTTAAGAGCCTTTTTTTTCCAGCAAACATTTGTACCAAAGAGCTGCATGAGCAAATTTCAGGAGAACGGAGCTATAAACTGATGAAAGGAGAAGTTAGGACAAGAAGAAAAGAGTTTGTGTGTTTTGCTCTTGTGAAGATGGCAGATCAAACAGGTCCTCTCTGACAGGGAGCACAACATCAGACTCCGAAGGCCCTCGTGGCCTAATCTGTTTCATGAAAACTTGATTAGCTACGACTCGTTTCAGTGCAGAGTCTGCAGTCTTCATGTTTGGCAGCTGCTAGCAAGTTTGACCAGAGACCAGCTGGGTTTTGCTTCTGCACTAATTATAGACTGCCTCTGCTAGAAGCATTTATCAGAGAGAGACTGAACAGATGCTGGCACGTTGGTCAACGGTAAGTTTAACTGTCTCTCTCTAGTTTTTAACCCCCTCTGCACACAGCTCCTGGAAAACTGAATGGTTTGAGTAGAAACTGGTGAGTTTGTAGGTCGCTGCTTTTTTTTCACCAACAAACTGTTTTGCAAAATCATTCAGGACTTCACAGGTGCAGGTTTAACTTATTTATAGATTTTCATTTATTGAATGAGAGGAAACCAAAAGACATTCTGCCCCTTACGCTTTCTAAAAGACTCACCCAGAGCTGTAAAAACACACTGTAGATTTTTATTTAAAGATAACTCATTAAATGTTTTTGAAATACTACATATAAGAACTATTGATTATGTTAAAAAAATTAAAGACTGTTATTTATTGGCAGTTTTACACACCTGTTCATAAAATGTAAACACTGAGCTGTGCAGTTTTTTATGAGTCCTGTCTAATTGTGAAAAATTATTAATATAAGTATCCCACTGAGAAACWATAAAGCTTAGCAATTTAATAAACTGTTTAATAAGAGCAGGGTTGTGCAATAAGTTATGATTAATCACATCTCTCAAGCAGTTTCTTTTTATTGCCACAGTGACTTGTTTTTAAAACATACTTCCAATGACAAAAGTGCAAAAGCTGCACTTGGTTTCTTCCCCCTTAGCAACTTGCTACAGAAGTGTTAAAATGTTTGCTTTTACCCCGGATTTACACTACATGCATCTCCGCTSCGCTGCGCTGCGGTGCGCAGGTCGCAGCTGTTCATTTGTGTCTCAATTTATACAGCCTATTTATTTATTTAAATAATTAAATATATATATATATATTACTTAGCATGAAATTTGTTTCTTTTATCAATGATAAATTTTAAATTTATGATTAAATGCAAAGAAATAAATAAAAAAATGAAATAAAAATAAATTTAATAAATTTCTGTCCCTAAGCTGTTGGCTTTAATTAACAGATCAATTTAGTTGGATAGCACAGTATTAATGTCTGAAAATAAGCTGCTTAAAGTCAGCATCAACCATAAATTAAATAATATTCCTGTATTTATTTCAGATTTAGTCAGTCGTACACTTAGTTCTTATCAGTGTTTAAAAGAGGATAAGTTATAACTCTGTTTAGTCAAAGTTAAACATGAAACATCAAAGTTCATTACAAGTGGCCCTTCYAGGGCCACCATYAAGCRCATGTGYCCCTCGGTGAAAATGAGTTTGACAGCCCTGCTTTAGAGCCACGTTTGTCRAGTGGGGCTTGATTCAGTGTTATTCCTGTGGAGCTGATTTTATTCATCATTACATTTAAATACCAGAGAAAGTGCTTAGCCTCTAAATCAGAGGTCTTCATCTCTGTTCCTCATGACCCTCTGTCCTGCTTTAGTTGTTGCCCTGCTTCAGCACACCTGGTTCAGATAATTAAATTACCTCAGAATGTCATCAAGTTTAGCAGGTCATTTCACTCAGGTGTGTTGAAGCAGAGGAACATCTAAAACATGCAGGGCAGTGAGTCATGGGGAGCAGAGTTGGAAGACCTTTGATCTAAATTGTGTGACTGATGCAGGAATGTCTTCAAAACAGTCCTTTCTTGTGGTGCCCTTCATGTGAGACCATAAGTGAGTGACAGGAAATGAAACTGCTTTTAGAGGAATAAACAGCCGACACGCCATCGCAGCCTCTAACTGTACAAACACACAAATAATCAGGCTACATCCTGCTTCAGCTACTTTGGTTCAAATGTAAARCAGTGGCTGAACATAAAGTTTCTAAGCTGCTCCACAGCAGGAGTGATTACCACAGGGTGACATCGTACGATGGCACACTCCACTGTCCTCTCCTTATTCCTGTGGTGTTGTGGATACACTTCCTTAGAAGTGTTTGTTTTGTCTCCATGGAAGCGGGGACAACTAAGAATTTGTTTGGGATGATGTGTTTTGGTAGATCTGGGTGTTGTTGACCCARAATCAGCCAGTTTTCTTTTGGGACCATTTCTGAGGAGGTGCTGAAGTCATGGAAGAGGTTGTAAAAGTGAGGTGACAAAAAAAAGGTACTGAAAGGTCTGTTTTAAAAGTGTTTTAGAGATTTATTCAGAAATGATTTGCTCCTTCGTAGTCACACACACACAGGGCTTTACTGTCTTTGTGTGGACTTGTGTCGAKTTCTATTGATTTCTACAGCCTAACCCTGATCCCTAAATCACCTCAGGACCTAACCCRCAACCTAAGTCWYTRCACACCTTASTCCTWACACAAAAATGGTCACTGTGTGGACCAGGGAACATGTCCTCACAAAGATGGTCTAATGTCAATATACACTACCTGGCCAAGAAAAGGTCACACTCTAATATTTAGTTGGACCTTTATCTTTGATTATGACACACATTCTCTGTGTCTTTGTTTGATAAGCTTTTAATGTCACCAGATTTATTTCATCCAGTGTTGCATTAATTTTCACCAAGATCTTGCATTGATGATGGTAGAGTCTGACCTTCTCCAGCACATCCCAAAGAT